GGCACTGATAGGCATCACTGATGGGCACGGATAGGCACAACTGATGGGCATTGATGAGGTGGCACGGATAGGGAGCACTGATGGGCACTGATAGGCGGAATTGATAGGCGGCACTGATGAGCTGGCACTGATGATGCTTCACTGATAGGTGGCACTGCTGAGCAGCACTGATGGGTGGCACTGCTGGGCAGCACTGATGGGCACAGGTGGGTTTCACTGATGGGCACAGGTGGGTGGCACTGCTGAGTGGCACATGTGGGTGGCACTGATGGGCAAAGGTGTGTGGCACTGCTGAGTGGCACAGGTGGGTGGCACTGATGGGCAAAGGTGTGTGGCACTGCTGAGTGGCACAGGTGGGTGGCACTGATGGGCACAGGTGGGTGGCACTGATAGGTACAGGTGGGCAGCACTGCAGGGCACAGGTAGGTGGCACAGGTGGGGGCAGCACTGTAGGGCACAGGTGGGTGGCACTGCTGGGCACTGTTCATCTGTTCCCTGATGATCAGTGGCAATCCCTTCGATGACAATTACTAGTTCTTGGCAGTACTTTCTTCATGCAGTGCCAGCGTGAGGAAAGTGCAGCCAATAACCGGCAACTGTTTTTTTTTACCCGGTAATTGTGTCATTGGACACAGCTGATCATGTGGTAAAAGGCCGCCATGATTGGCCGTTTACTGTACACTGTGATCAGCTGTGTCCATAGGACACACCGATCTCCGGCGGCACTGGGTGCGAGGCGCTGGGAGCACGCAACGGGGCGTGTTCTGGAATGACATCCACGGACGTTGTCCCAGAATCACACAACCGTGCTGTAGCCGTCCTTCGGCCATAGCGTGGTTGGGAACCAGTAAATAATGATTATTAGGTTTTAATTGTGACCCCGTGGAGGAGATATTGATATCGGTCTGATATGGAAATCCTTTTATGTTCTTTCTAGCCCTGATGAAGGGGGCGCTTAAACACCAAAAATGAGTTGGCTGCTTTTTGGATTCTAGAATACCAACACAATATATTACAATATATATATATATATTACAATATATTACTGTGCATATAAATCAAAACATGTGTACTGTATATGTTAAGTGCCAGTGAGAAATGTCCCAATCTCACATAACAGAATCCAAATATAATGGAAGTCCGAAAATGATTCCTCGGTCCTGGTGATAGGACCAAAAAGCACTGTTGATCGAACACTTGGTAGAAGGTCATATTTTTGAGGTGAGAGTTCACCGGTGATGGTTTGGCACTGGAATTTATGCTGAATATTTCTACACGAAGCGGAAGTGTTGGTGTTTAAGCACATCTCATAGTTCACAATTGGATTTATATTTGGACTTTGTTATGTGGGATTGGGAAATATCTCATTGGCACTTAACATATACACATGATTTATATGCACAGTAATAACTTGTGGTGTTATTATAAAATATAATATCTTATTTTGATTAGTTAAAGTTTGTGGAGCATTTCATGATACTTAGGATGACGTTCATTATGATGGTACCAGCGCAGCAATATTTTTGATATATTAATTTTATGTTATGACTAGTATGAGAGGTCACCGAGTGCACTGCGGCTAGATATCATCTATATTTATTTTGTTTTTTATTTTATTTTTGCAGTATGTATTTATTTATTTTTGCACTATTCCTTTTGGATTCATTTTTCATTACGTAGATGTGGGTAGCACAATAGGGTTCATATTCATAGCAGCGCATTTTACTTTTTTGATTCTACCGCTGACTTTTAATGGAATAAAATTGTATTCGGCCCTCTTAGCACTGGTGTGGAGCTTCAATGTCAACACTTGTATTTTTGTCTTGTTAATTTCAGTGTCGGGCAACAAAGCCAGCCTGACTTCTGTCTGAGTGTCATTAATATGGATAGTGAGCTGGAGATGATGAAGGTAACCTCTCCAGTCCAAACACCTTAGGGCAAGGTGCAGGGACAAAAAAGTGACATGAGTGCTGTGAATGACACTGGTGTTACTGGAACTTGAAAGCACCTTTTGTCAAATGGTATGAAGGATGATCAGATGAAAGCCACCAATGAGAAGAGGTCCGGAACAAGCCAGGATCAGCATCGGGCAGGCAAGATGATACCAGATTGGCAGGCAGAGACAAAGTCCGGTATACGCCAGGTCAGCAACATGCGGGATGGTGAGATACCAGGGTTTCAGGCAGGAGACTTAGTTGAGGAACAAGCAGATAGGTCAAAGCTCAAGCCAGGTTGGTAACAGGAATCAGTATCAGACGGCAGAATCACTGGTCACAAGTATACAGCTAAAGCCTGGCAGGACTTGGGGTCAGGGATGTATTTACCACAAGGCAAACAATGCATTTGCCTAGAGTGGCATTTTTCAGGGGGGCAGCAGCATGTTTCCGGGGGCCAGCGCTGTCCACCGAAAGAAGGAAAGGAAGAAGGGACACATGCAGCACGGAGACCAGGTGGGATCTCAAAGGGGCTGTGGGCTGCTTAATGGTGTATGCAGAGCCTGACTCTTGTTCCCGGGGATGTCCGGAGCTGTGAAGGTGAGTGTCTTATCTCTTGTCGGGGTGGGGGTTGCCAGTGTATGGGAGGCGGTGGTAGTGGAAGGATCTCTCAGGTGGGGGGGTGTGGGGTGCTGGGGTGTTGTTGGTCATAGGGGGGAGCCAATTTTTGTGTTGCCTAGGGCAGCACGAATCCTAAATACATCACTGCTTGGGATCACTTTGAGTGTGCCTCATAAGCACATACACCACAAGATCCATGGTCTGTGCTGGAATCAAGCTATGTACTGCAGGCTAATAAAACCTTTGCTGACACTGAACTCAATGTTAATGATAGACTCAGAGGATGCCAGAAAACAAACCTGCTGTCTGGAACATACATGAAAGAAAACAAAACTTTTATAAATTGACAGTGGTACTCTCCTTCTGCAGTACAGACAGAGAAGTAGTAATCAGCCCTGGGTTCAGGCAGAACACATGGGCGTCTCACAGCTTTGGGCTAGGCTGCCATTTTTGCTCTAATATTGAGAGAATACAGCTGAATAACAGCTCACACACCTATTCCTATAGCGTAAGGCTTTGCTATTATAACAACACAAGAGTGCAGGCTAAGATTCTTACAAATTCCTAAATAGACATCTTTCACATGTATGGCCAGGGGGGAGTGGGAAGTGACAGCTGAGCTCTGATATTATGACCCTCAACTGCCTACCTAAAATGCAACATGAACCGGAGGGAACTGTACACATGTTGCGGCCACAGCAAGTTTAAATTATCATGTTTTTCATTACTTCAGCTTTAACTACTGTAAGTCTGTGGTTGGGGCAGTTTCTTTAGTCTAGTTTTCTGTGTCATCATTCATGGAGGAGGCTCATACCAGATATTGTAGCGCTACTTCCACAGGAGTTGCTGAGGTTCAACAGGTTCTTGCCCAAATTAGTGCAGAGGACTTGTAACAGGAGAGGCTCAAGGGGTGAGGGATACTCCAAAACATCAAGCCCAGTCAGCAGAAGATACTTCTTTCTTAGTGACAGCAACTCAGTCTATTACTCACAGCTGTAAACTATGAAGTAGATTTTAGCACAGGTAAAGGCAGACTGGAACAGTCCATGTCCTTTTGGCTGGGAGCCATGAGGTAGCTTGTAGCACAAATAATGGCAGCCTGGAACAGTCTGTAGATGTACGGCTGGGGACCATAAAATAATCTGTAGCACAAGTAAAGGTAGACTGGAGAAGTCTATATATTCACGACTGCGAACAATTAATTGAGGTGCAACACAGAAAGAAGGCTCTACTCACAGAATCCTGGAACAGGAACAGTCCATAGGTGCAGCCTCCTGTAGAGTAGTCCAGCATCTAGTCCAAAGTGCTCAATGAGCAGCAGCAGCCCTCTCCCTCCTTTCAGCGCACAGATCCATTTCCTTGGGAAGGACAAGGGATCCCTCTCTTCAGGGCTCTAGACTATTTAACAGCATCCCAACCACCATTTGGGCACACTTTCCCAGGGATTGGGTAGGTCCTACTCAATATTCAGGCTGATCATTTGAATTCTTCCTCCCTAAGCTCCAGAAACTTCTTCTGGAGGTGGGAGAAGCAAAATAAACTCCCATCCTGTAAAGTCCAGAACAGACCAGACCAAACAATTACTGCTCAACTGATTACAGAAGGAGCCAAAAATGTAATTTATCTATCAGCATAACTAGGAGGGTGCTACAATATTTATACCACGTATATATAACATACACTTTATTGCCAAGGGTATTGGGACTCCTGCCTTTACCCGCACATGAACTTCAATAGCATCCCAGTCTTCGTACATAGGGTTCAATATTGAGTTGGCCAACCCTTTGCAGCTATAACAGCTTCAACTCTTCTGGGAAGGCTGTTCACAAGGTTTAGGAGTGTGTCTATGGGAATGTTTGACCATTCTTCCAGAAGTGCATTTGTGATGTCAGGCACTAATGTTGGACAAGAAGGCCTGGCTCGCAGTCTCCACTCCAATTCATCCCAAAGGTGTTCTATCGGGTTGAGATCAGGCCTTTGTGCAGGCCAGTCAGTTTCTCCACCCCAAACACGCTCATCTATGTCTTTATGGACTTTGCTTTGTGCACTGGTGCGCAGTCATGTCAGAACAGGAAGGGGCCACCCCCAAACTGTTTCCACAAAATTGAGAGCATGAAATTGTCCAAAATATCTTGGTATGCTGACACCTTAAGAATTCCCTTCACTGGAACTAAGGGGCCAATACCAACCTCTGAAAAACAACCCCACACCATAATCTACCCTCCACCAAACTTTACACTTGGCACAATGCAGTCAGGCAAGTACCGTTCTTCTGGCAACCACCAAACCCCATACATGTCCATCGGATTGCCAGACAGAGAAGCACGATTTGTCACTCCAGAGAACACGTCTCCACTGCTCTAGAGTCAAGTGGCAGTGTGCTTTACACCACTGCATCTGACACTTTGCATTGCACTTGGTGATGTAAGGCTTGGATGCAGCTGATCAGCCATGGAAACCCATTCCTTGGAACTATCTACCCACTGTTGTTGTGCTAATCTGAGGGCCACATGAACTTTGGAGGTTTTTAGCTTTTGACTCTGACGACAGTTGGTGACATCTGCACATTGTGCACTTCAGCATGCACGGACCCGGCTCTGTCATTTTACGTGGCCCACCACTTCGTGGCTGAGTTGCTGTTGTTCACAGTTGCTTCCACTTTGTTATAATACCACTAACAGTTGACTGTGGAATATTTAGTAACAAGGAAATTTCACGGATGGACTTATTGCACAGGTGGCAACCTATCACGATAACACACTTGAATTCACTGAGCTCCTGAGAGCGACCCATTCTTTCACAAATGTTTGTAGAAGTCTGCATGCCTAGGTGCTTGATTTTATCCACCTGTGGCCATGGAGATGATTGGAACACCTGAATCCAATGATTTGGGGGGCTGGCCAAATACTTTTAGCAATTTAGTGTATATGTTAAAGCAGATTTAGTTTTCTTCTAGAAAACACAGTTTTAATCTTTTTTTATCTATCTATATGCATCTCATTACTGCTGATCCCTCCTGCCTCTTTCAGCCCCGACTGCATGGCATTCCAGTGTCTGCTACATTTAAATGCTCAGGACTGTTCCTGATAATGACCATGCCTGTCCAATGTATGATCACGTCTAGTCTCCAATGGGAGTTCCTTTGACAGGGTGACAATTAAAGAGAGCAAGTGGGAGACATGAACAGATTGCTGTCACCCCATAACAGGAAAAGACTCAACAAGGATTTAATTTCAGGATTACAAGGTATTACTTTAATGAAAGACGCAGATTTGAACAAATTGAACATTACTTAACATTACAACAGCATTTAAAAGATTACTGTGTATGAGAGTTAATGATTGGGCTTAGGCCTAGCTAAACTGGAGATAAATAATGAGAAAAGCAATAGGATATAATCTTAAAAAAAACAATATTACTGCGACAAACTCTAGTCAATAATATATTTTATAGCCTAATTTAAAGTGCTACTAAACCCAGGACCCTGCATTTACTATATCTGGTCTCCCAGAGTACACAGAACAGGGAAATACAATTATTTTAGTAAATATAAACTGCTAAATACCTTTTCTCATCAGCAGTATATAGCAGTCTTGTGACTTCTATCAGTGTCCAGCAGACTACTGGTTAAGGCATGTAGAAGGGGTTGTTATTCTGCTCTGACTGTTCTATGAGGCTGCACAACCCCTGACCCTCTGTCTGGACAGTGCTCATTGCTGATCACATGCACCCTTCCAAAAAAATTTAAAAAACTCTCCAGCAACACACACCAAACTGAGCATGTGCAGAGTGCCTATTAGAGCTCTGTACTATCAGCAGATAGATTGGGGACTGTGAAAGAAAGGTAGGATCAGAGAAGACAGGATCAAACAGCCTTTTTACACAATGTAGAGGATTAACCCCTTAGGTTCCACAATGAGTATAACAAGCATGATTTTCTGCATATACAGACTGATTTTACTGTTGTGGGTTTAGTAAAACTTTAAGAACCAATAATCACAATACTCAAAGGCAAGGAATGCATGGAAGCAGCCCACACATCATCCAGATGCTCCATCTTGATAATATTAGTATGTTTTTTTTTATAATACCAATTATAGTGATAGGTGAAAGGTAACATCAACATAGGGTTCCAGCAGCATCAAATTTACTTTTTTTTTCCAGTTAAAAAATGTCATTGTCTTCTAACACTTCAAGAGACTGGAAAACAAATCCTCTGTTTTGAAATGATCTGAAATAAAATGGTGTTGGATTCAACTTCTGGCTCCTAGCAGAGCTGAGAGATGTTGCCAAATAGTTATGCCTCCAATGCACTGCATGATATCATATGACAACTAGAGCAGGCAACAACAAAGAACCAATCACATGAACTCCTTAGTCATGGAGAAACATATGCTTGCATACCTGAACTCTGTATTTTAAACATGTAGCTCAGGACAGTAACGTTTGGGGGTGTGCGTTACCCTGGGGTCCCCATTTTAGCTAAGCTACCGGTACCACAAGAGGAGAGCTACCCTGAAGGATGTCACCTGTTTTAGAAATTTGGAGTTTGTAGGCGGGGCATAATCAGTGTACCTGAAGATTGAGAGGAATCACCGTTGCTTAAACCAATTGTTTGTGTATTGTAGAAATTTAATAGGCACAAACAAGGCCAGTAGATAAAGTGATGTTTCTAAGAAATTATGCTACATACTTACAAATACACACTTACAGATTACAGGATGCCAGAGGAGCTCTTCCCTTGGAGAGCTGGTGGTAATACTGAGTCTCACTGTGATCCCCGAAAGTCCCTGCAGATATCTGGCTGCTGGTGGGAGATTGTTGTAGAGCCTGTAGGGAAACCCTACTTTTTCTCTCCTCAACAGGTACCTCTCCCTAATGTTTCTCCTACTCTCTCCCTATCCAGTGGGGGCTCTTTCTATGTCTTACTCTCACACTGTGGGCACACTAAATAATGCAGAATTCCACTATTTATGGAATCCTTAGTCAAGATGGCTGCCCAAATCTCATGAGACTGCTGTATCCAATAGGCTTGCCATCCTCCCTATGATGACTGCCTGGAGCCCATAGCAGGAGACCATTATTCCTTAACCTCCCTGGCGGTCTGATTATTTCAGATTTTTGGTGCTGAAAGCGGTACCATTATTTTGCATGGAAATATGTAGTTTTTTTTATTGTAGGCTGTAATATTTAGGAATAACTCACTGAAATCTATCGGAACAAGAGTCTAGTAAACATCCCGGGTATGATAAAATTTGAAACACAAAATCATAAATTATAATTTAATAAATATTCATAAAAAAATAATAATATAATAATAATAAATTTAATTCAATAATATAATCAAACCAAAAAACACTGAAATTTGAAATATAGCGCCAAGTTCGCACATGACTGAGCAAAGTCGCAAAATCATTTTCAGTGTCTGATGATGAATTTCCCCACGAATCATTATCACTCAATTCTGCAAGTAGTTCTAATTTACTATCGCTGTTCTCTAGCCGGTCTAAAACCGCTTTTGACCTAAAGGGACGCTTTTTGGACGCCATGGACTTTTCTAAGTTTCCAGGCAGAAAGAACAGTCAAAATGCAGGCAGGGCACAGGACAAAGCAGTAGGGACAAAATGTATGTGAAATGGTTTGAAACAGCAATGTTTTACTATGTAAAATTCGTTTTGAAAAAAATGAAATTTTTTTAAAAATTTTCAAATTTCCCGCCGCCGGCAGCGCCCATATGTCCCGGCGTCACGGGGACCGGAACACAGAAGCCGGATGCCGGCATCAGCCGGAGGAGATGGCCGGGGATGCTGCAGGGGGGACATCGTGGGAGCGAAGGACAAGGTAACCCCTGCAGGGACTCCCCCTATGCAGCGCCGCATGGTAAGCCCGAGTGTAGCTCGGGGTTACCGCTTTTGGTACAGAAACTTTACCCCGAGCTGCACTCGGGAATACCGCCAGGGAGGTTAATGGGTTCCTGCTCGTCTGACGAAACAGCACAGTGTCAACTTCAGGTTGGAGGAAAGGATCTACACCTGCCTACAAGCTAATGAAGGATATGGCTGTGATTAGCAGGCCACCCAACCCGTGTAAGGTGGCACCAAATTTTTTATATTTTTGCAAAAATACCCAAAGAATGTTATAGCATCAGCAGCATTATCAGCTTCTGGTTAAATAGTCATTTTCAGAATAGAGACTTTCTTACAATGTGTGATGTGTGTGATGAACCTGGGAATCCTGCCATAGCATTTGGAATATTAAATGATGCATCACAAACAACCCAGGCGTTTAGCGATTGACTGTACTTCTGCATCCAAAAATGAATGTGTGCTGTCAGTAAAAAAACAGTACATATACAGTGATTTCCTATGCAGCTTATATTAATCTTTAATATAAAAGATGCCTGAAGATTTCAGCCACAAGACTGGAACCACTTTTTGCAGACCAGCGTGATAATGAAGAAACAGACAAATGGTTTGTTCCTCTACAGACATTGATCGTATACTGCTGCAAAGTCTAGAGGCCCCATTGGTGCAATGCTGTCATTTCTTACATAAATGATCACTATCATACCCCTTTGTACTGCACCCCCTAAAGAGCCACTGGTGAATTCACTCCTATATAGGGATCATGGGATAGCCTGGAGCTGTAAAACTGTACAAAAGGCTAAAAATCAAACCTATGTGGCTTGCGGCGGAAGTTAGAAAAGCTATAAATAAATAATAAGAAAAGAGCTTTAATTAAATATAAAAATGAAGGAACGCTATCATTGTTTAAACATTAATATAACAGAATATGTAAAAAGGCAATCAAGGCCGCAAAAATTGAAAACGACGACAGATTGCAAAGGATAGCAGGACAAACCCCCAAAAATTCTTCAATTTAATAGTAAAACAGAAATAAATGATGTAGCTATAACCAAATAATATAACATTCATACATAAATAAAATGACATAACATATACAAATGCATATAAAGGTAATAAATGGATATACTCTGAAAAGAAAAATAATATGAAAGTGACCTGATCCGCACAGGATCCAGATGCAAATACTATAAGTGTATATAAGTGACCTGATCCACTAGGGATCCAAATGTGAAAAAGGTAAATAACAATTTCCTAAGGGATCTAAAGTGATAACGATACCTAAAGTCTACACACCAATAACCTCACAAAATATAGTGTATACGTGAACTGATCCTGAATAGGATCCACAGTGATGGTGAACAATTTAAACAATAAGTATGAATTAGATAATAGTCCAAATGGGACTATAAAATGAACACTGTCCAAAAGAAGGACTAAAGACCGAAGAAACCACACAAACATCCAGGAGAAAACTCCTTAATAAATGTGAACAATCACTCCCCCACAAATAAGGAAAAAAAGTATAATACTGTGTATAATATTGTGTAGTTGGCTAATTAGGATGCAGGTACTCACTGTATGCCTTTGCTGCCATTTTGTATAGCTGGGCATCACATGCGTCCCTGTACCATCAGGGAAGGATGGGCTCCTCCAGGCACATCTGCCCTTAACCCATCCATTTACACATGTGCTCCTACTATGGAATCTTTGAAAATTTTAGCTAGGTCTACAGTATACAGGGGACCCTTGACATGGGACTGTGGCTTACACATGTATTTGCAAATATGTGCAAAAAACCCTCTGTTTTTAACGCAAACTGTTAGAGAGGGCCAAATTGGTTGTTTCGCAAGCTGGCTGGTAAGTGTTGCTGGGAAATCCTTTTCTGTCTGTGTAGTTAGTGGTGTACCACAAGGTTCAGTGTTGGGACCCTTGCTTTTTAATATATTTATAAATGAT